AGGAGGGGGGGCAGACGGCTGTGCTGGGAGCATAACTGATTGAAATGCAGGGGGAGTCGGGGAAATAGAGAACCAGTCTCTGTTGTGTTGCTGCATACCTCGAGCTTGCTCAGCAGCTCGTTTCTCTGCCTCATGTTGTAACAATGTATCATTCACAACTTTCCAAAACTTTCTCAGCTTTTTTGCAACTTTATCCTCTTCTAGAATGGCCTCACATATTTTATCTCCAAACTTTTGCCACTCTTCTAAAGAATGCACGGTATGCGGGTTGATAAAACACCCTTTTGCATACCCAAAAGCAAGCAATCCTGGTAATTCCTTTTTTAAATCTATATCTTTAATACCTTTTTTCTGCAAAAATTCAGAAAATAAACTATATGCTGCTTCCCTTTCCATTTTTTACTTATTTTTAGCGCGCTCTTGCAGCCTCCAGGGTCCGGCAGCACGTACGGTGGAACTCGTCCCAAGTGACGCTTTAAGGATCCGAAGTTGCAGTTGCCCACTTTTTGATCCGGGTCCGAAGTTGCAAATTCTGCCGACTTTTTGACCAGTTCCAGGTCCAAGTCACTCCTCAATTTGACTTTTTGACCAGCCTCGCTGCTAAGGCTCCGACACTATGCCATCCCAACCGTGGATTCCCCCGTTTCTTTAAATTATCACGTCGGAGGTCACCATTTGTTGTGGACGACGGGAAAGTATCACACGATCACAGTATTGATCATGACTAATCCAACTTTATTGCTGTAAGCTCCATGCTTATAAAGGTTAATAATTAGGCTCATTAATATTCCAAATACAAGCTCATCATTGGCTCCTAATTACCTAAGTTATATTTGCGCAAATGCTGCCTCTTTCTCATGGCTATAGTTACTTTATTTACTATTTGCTACTTTCTCTACCTTTCCCATCCTGTTGCTCTAATTTTCTATCACGTATGCAGTTTCTTAAACAATACAGCTTCACAGCAGACAATGCAGCCTTGCAGTTTCTTAGACAAAGCAGTTTCACAAACACACTGATCAGTGACCTTCTAATAGTTTTCTTGCTTTAGCGTGAGACCAGCGGTATAGAATCTTTAATGTGTCCTCTCTCTACCAACCAGGTTTCTGTAATATCTTCCACACTCAGGCCTTGCACCCACAGCAGGGCTGGGAAGGGGAGTGGGGAGCTGGAAAGACCACACGTGGAAAGAGCAAGAGCCCTTGGCCCTGGCCCTGCTGCTGGGCTGGGAATCTCTTCCCTCCTCCTCTGCACAAAGGCATTGCCCCTGCAGCTCCAGAGAAGGGCTGAGGAAGCATCTTGGACACACAAGTCAGTGCAGGGCACATGATTTTCTTGAAATACACAGTGATCGTGGCACCTCAGTGTGTCTGTGCACAGCAATGGTAGGTACTGGTGTAGCAATAGATGACTAATGACATTCCTTTATGGAAAACAGTAACACAAGTGAAGAAAAAAAAGGAATGCAAATATAAAATACACCAATACAAGAACAAAATGGACACGTGGCACAAAGCAGTCTGACATCCTGGATGCTGTGAAGAAGAAAAAAGGCACTTCATTGCTTCTGAAAAGTATCCAGTCATTTTCCTCCAGGCACCCTTGAGGTCCTGGTTCCTCCTGGGGGGGTTCAGTGCTGGAGGCACCACCGAGTCCAGAACTGACCTCAGCAGTTCCAGCAGCAGGGAGGAGATGGAGGGGGGCTTCAGGTGGGCAAACCTGACAGTGCTGACAAACAGGGAGACCACAGCCAGGGGAGGCAGGCCCGTGGAAAAGGCTCTAAAAAACCCTCCCCGAAGTTCACTCCCTCTGCACTTTGGGGTTCTGGGGGTCCCCCCGTTCAGGCTCTTGGAGGTCCCTCGTGTTTTGGGGGCCCCCTCTCCGGGGTTCTGCCTTTTCCGGGCTGCTGGAGATGCCGGGAATCCCAGGGGTCCCCCCTCTCGGAGCCCCTCTTCCAGGAGCCGGGGGTCCCCGGCCCCCCCACCCCTCTGGGCTCCCCCTCTCCGCGCTTCCCCTCCCGCCCCCCCAGGCTGCCGGGGGTCCCCCAGCTCCGCTGTCGCCCCTCTCTGCTCTCCCCACTCCGGGGGCCCTAAAAAAGGGGCTCGTCGCGTCCCCCCCCGCCGGCACCGGGCTGACAATGGGGGCGGCGGGGCCTGACCCCGCAACACCGACCCCCACCGCGGGGGGGTCCCCGCATCCCCCCGCCCACCTCCCGCCTCTGCCGGGAACCCACCCCGGGATCCCCCCCAACAAAACCAAAACACCTCCCGGGGACCCCCCGAGGTCCCCCCGAGGGCCATTTGCGGCTCAGCCCCAAACATCCCCCCCAAAACCCCCCGCACACCCCCAACCCATCGCAGCCGAGCTCCCCCTCCCCGCCCGCTCAGGGGGGCGATGCTCCTCCTCTTCCTCCTCCTTTGCCTCTGCCCGCTCCTCCTCCCCCCGCTCCATCCCCGAGCCGGGAGCTCGAGGTGAGTTGGGGGGCCCCGATGGCAAAGGGGCAGAGGGGAAGGAGAAGAGGGGCTGGGAGCCCCAAAGTGAGCGAGAGAGGGGGTGGGTCACTGCCAAAGCAGCGGGGGGCGACGGGCAAAGGGGGGGAGAGGGGAAGAAGGGGAGGTGGGAGAGCGGCAAAGGGGTTCCCGTGGGGGTCCCTTCGTGTCCCCACAGCTCGATCCCTGGAGAGGAGGGACCCCCGGGCCCCAGCGGCTGATGGGGGCCGGGATGTTTGTTGGGAATTCCCGGCAGGCCGAACAAAGGCCCCGGCCACGCGTCGGGAACTCTTTGATTGTCCCCAACGGTGGCGGGAGTTCCCCAATTCCCGCCCCCCAAAGTGGGGAGATGGGAGAGGGGGAAGCCTGGGAGTGTTTTTGGGGTGAGTGTTGGGGCTGTCGGGGGGCAGAGTGCTGGGGAAGGGGGTTTTGGGGGATGCCAGGGCCGAGGAAAGGGGAGTGCGGGGCTCTGGAGAGGTGGGATGGGGGGTCCGGGGAGATCCCCTGGCCAGGGGTCGGCGGTGTGGGGGAAAGGGAGGTGCTGGGGGTCGGGAGAATGGCCAGAACCCGGGGTTCAGGGGGTCCCCCCGTGTTCCAAAGAAAAGGGTCTTGTGGGTTGTGGAAAAGGCAGGCCTGGGGGTGCAGGGGGTAGCAGCGTGAAGGAAAAGCAGGGCCTGGGGGCTGGGAGAGGCGGGCTGGGCGGGAAAGGGGGTTGCAGGGGGGTCTTAGTGCAGAATAAGGGGGTGCCAGGGGGTTCCTGTGGCCAGGAATGGGGGTTTGGGGTGTCCCAGAGGGAAGGCAAAAGGGGGGATGTAGAGACTGGGAGAGGAGGCCCAGGGGGTCTCTCGGGTCCTTGTGTCCAGGAAAGGAGGGTGCAGGGGCCTCCAGTGTGAGGGAAAGGGGGTTCAGTGGGTGGGGAGAGCCGGGATGTGCAGGAAGGGCAGTTCAGGGGGTGCCGGGTGTTGAGGAAAGGAGGGGTTGGGGAGTGGGAAAGGCAGGAGTGGGGGTGGAGGGGGTGGCAGGGTGAAGGAGAAGGGAGGGTGTGGGGACTTGGAGAGGTGGGATGGCTGGGAAAGGGGGTGCAGGGGGGTCCTGGAGCTGAGGAAGGGGGTGAGAGTCCCAGTGGTGGAGAGGAGGTGCAGGGGGGTCGTGATGGGCAGGAATGGGGTCCAGGGAGTGCCAGGGTAAAGGAAAAGGGAGTCTGGGAGAGGCGGGATGGCTGGGAAAGGGGGTGCAGGGGGTTCTGTAGCCGGGGAAGTGGGTGCAGGGGGTGGTGGTCTGGATAAGGGGGTGCAGGGGGGATCTGGTGTCCAGGAATGAGGTGTTCAGGGGGTCCCTGGGACACTCCAGGACCACTCTACAGGATATGCCAGGAGTGGGGAACTGAGGAGACAGGGAGATTTGGGGGTCAGAGTGGTCCCAGGGTCAAGGAAAGGGAGAAACGGGGAGAGCTGTGAGAACTGGGAAGGGGCTCCAGGGGGTCCCAGGGTCAAGGAAAAGAGGGTCTGAGGATGAGATGAGGTGGGATAGCCAGGAATGGGGGGCCAGGGCTCTCCAGGGTGAAGGAAACAGGGGGATCGAGGGACTGGGATGAAACAAAGCAAGGCCTGAAGAGTTAACTTAGAATGCATGCTCTGAGCAAAGAAACAAAGAACTAAGTTTCAAGGACTAGTGGAAGATAACACATACATAAATCTGACACACTGACACAAAAGAACAGAAAGTAAGAGCTCCAAAAATGCTAACACACACATAAATAGACATATGGAAGGAACACAGGGAGATAAGGGGAAAGAGAAGGGCCAGAGTCCAGAATCTCCTGCCAAATATCAGAAACTCCTGCCAAATACATGTTGGAGTCAGCCAAATTAAGGAAAGTTCAAAAGTTTACCCAAGAAAGAGGAGTAAAGCGACTACCCCTGAAGCTGAAGTAACAGGATGTACCCCCGAAATTCTCCACAAAATTATGACCGCACTCCTGCCTCCGCCTTAACTCCACCTGCTATGAATATTATAACTAGATGTTGCAATAATATGAATATGCATAAAATGATGATGTAATCTCTCGCAAAAATTGTATAAATAGTCTGGCTTTTCACTGAGTGCTTTGAAACTCTTTGTCCAGCGCGAGCTGGGAGTTCCCCAATGTTGCATAAAATAATTACCTTGCTGCTTAAAGACTAAACCTTGTCTCTGAGCAGTTCCTTTGTGCCTTTTGGGGCACAAATTCGGCATCAGGGAGAGGTGGGATGGTGAGGAAAGTGGGGGCAGGGGGGTCCTGGAGTCAAAGAAAGAGGGGTGTGGGGTCTGGAAAACTGGGACTGGCCAGGCAGGGGGGGCCCAGGCCTGGAGGAGCAGGAAGAGGAGGAGGAAGAGGCGGTGGGGGCTGCTGAGACCCCCGGAGTGGGGAGAGCGGAGAGGGGCGATCCCGGCACCGCGAGACCCCTGTCAGCCTGGAAGGAGGGGGGGAACCTGCAGAGAGGGGAGGGTTGGGAGTGCAGGAACCCTGAAATGGGGGCCTGGAGAGGGGGTACCCTTGGGAGTCCTGGTACACTGAAGTGGGGAGCCTGGAGAAGGGGGAGTGCTGGGACCCCCGTCAGCCCAGCCAGGGGGACCCCAGAGAGAGGGGACCCCTGTGATTTCTGGGACCCACAGCAGCCTGGAGAGGGGGAGACCCAATAGAGGTGGGACCCCTGAGAGCCCCAGCACCCCAAAGCAAGGAGTCAGGGGAGAAGGTACCCCTGGGGCCTCCAAAACCCCCCTCATCCCTAAGCAGGGGGACCTTGGAGAAGAGGGAACTGCAGGACCTCCAGCAGCCCAGAGAAGGGGGTCCCCCAGAATACCAAAGTGGGAAGACCCTCCGTATTCCTGGGACCCCCTGCAGCCCAGAGAGGGCGGGACCTTGGAGAGGGGGGACCTCCAATACATGTGGGACCCCCAGCAGCCCAAACGGGGGGCCCCCAGAAACCCAAAGTGGAGAGACCTGAGATGGGGAACTCCTGGAAGGGTTTTTTTGGTCTGAACCTTGGAGTTTCGGGGGGGGGTTGGCTGAGACTTGGTGTTTAGGAGTTTTTTATGGACACAAGGTGCTTGGTGACTTCTAGAGATGGACTTGGGCGGGAGGAACCCCCAACCCAATGTGCTCACCTCTTGTTTTTCCCCCCCATCAGGATTTCTCCTTCCCAAAGCTTGGCCAGATGAAGGAGGCTGCGAGGAAGAGGAAGATGCCACAGGCCCCCCGGGCAGGTGAGGAGGAAGTCAGTCCCCCTTTGCCCTGTCTTGTCCTGTATCTCCCAGCCCAGCATTGCCCCCGGCTGCAGGACAACCCCGCTGCCGCTGCCGTCCTGCCGGGGCCGGATTTGGGGGGATGTCCTTGGCCTTCCCTCTGGGCTGGAGGCAAATCCCCTCCCTGTCCTTCTTCCTTCCACTCCTTGTTCCTTTTCCTTCCTTCTTCCTTCTCCTTGTTTTTCCCTCTCCTTCCTCATGTTTTTTCCTTTCTCTCCTTCCTTCTCCTTCCTTTCTCTCCTTTTTCTTTCTGTTCCATCTTCTCCTTCCTTTTCATCATTCCTTGTCTCCTTGCTCCTTCCTTCTCTCAGGACCAGCGTGGCCAGCAGGACCAGGGCAGTGGTTCTTCCCCTGTACTTGGCACTGGTGAGGCCACACCTCGAGTGCTGTGTCCAGTTCTGGGCCTTCTTCTTCCTTCCTTCTTCTTCCTTCCTTCTTCCTTCCTCTCCTTGTTGCTTTTTCTTCTTGTTCTTTCCCTTCATATTCCTTCCTCCTCTTTTTCCTTCTCTACCCTCCTTCCTCTCCATCTTCCTTCTCCTCCCCCTTCCCTCTGGGCTGGAGGCAAATCCCCTCCCTGTCCTTCCTTCCTGCCCCAGGCCCCGAGCTGAGGACGGAGGGCACGGAGGACAAATCCCCCCGGCAGACCCTGGTGGGAGAGGCCGTTTTGAAGGGCTCCACGGCACAGGAAGGCAGCGGGGAGGAAAAGAGCAGGAGATCCTTCAGGAGGAGGGGCTCCAAAGCCAGCCCAGGGTGCTCTGAGGAGGAAAGACCCAGCCTGTACTGGGAAGGTGGCCGGAGCTTGAGCCGGAGCTCCGAGCTGGTGGTGCAGGAGCGCGTCACTGCCGTGGAGAAGACCTACAAGTGCCCCAGCTGTGGGAAGAGCTTCTGCAACAGCTCCAACCTCCTTGCCCACCAGCGTGTCCACACGGGGGAACGGCCCTACGAGTGTGCGGAATGTGGGAAGACCTTCATCTATGGCTCCCACCTCTTCACCCACCGCCGGGTGCACACGGGGGAACGGCCCTACAAGTGCTTGGAATGCGGGAAGGGCTTCAGCGTCAGCTCCCGCCTGATCCGCCACCAGCAGATCCACACTGGGGAACGGGGGCCCCAGCCCTACAAATGTGGGGAATGCAAGAAAAGCTTCACATACAATTCTCAACTCGTCATCCACCAGCGCATGCACACGGGGGAGAAGCCATACAAATGTGGGGAATGCAAGAAAAGGTTTAGAGACAGCTCCGGCCTCATCACCCACCAGCGCATGCACACGGGGGATAAGCCCTACAAGTGCTCAGAATGTGAGAAGAGCTTCAGCGTCAAATCCAACCTGACCCAGCACCAGAAGACCCACACTGAGGAATGGCCCTACCAATGTCTCGAGTGTGGGAAGAGGTCTCGGAGCAGCTCGGACCTCCTCAAGCACCAGCAGACACACACGGATGAGAGGCCCTTCCGCTGCACTGACTGCGGGAAGGGCTTCAAACGCAACTTCACCCTCGTGAAGCACCGGCACAGCCACACCGGGGAGAGGCCCTACAAGTGTGAGGAGTGTGGGAAGAGCTTCAGGCAGAGCTCTGACTTGATGACACACCAACGGACCCACCAGTAAGAGAAGCCCTGCGAGTGCCCCGACTGCGGGAAGAGCTTCATCTGCTGCTCCAACTCCATCACCTGTCGGAGGACTCACCTTGGGAACAGGCTTGGTGACCCACATTCCCAGTGACCCACCTTGGGAAGACCCCTGGCTGGTGGACTGTGGCAGGATAGTCCCAGCCTGGCCAGGCCCAAGGTCCAATCAAGCTCATAATCAAGCTGTCATACCAGATCAACTGCTGGAGCCAGGGTGTTGTCTCGGTGTTAACTCTGCTAAAACCATCCTGGTTGGTCCAACGTTGAACACACACCCTGCTGGTTGAAGTCTGAGTTGACAGATAAGCTGAGAGCTGGCTTGGAAAGGTGGGCCTGGCACTCACCTATAAAAAGTCCAGTCCCCTCTCATGCAGTCGGGTTCTTCCTGACAAAACCCTCTCTGGGGGGTGTGTGGAGATTCCTCCCTTGGCTGGGGACGCCCTCCAAGGTCACTCCTTGAGGCTGAGAGGAAGATCTCCCCACGAGCATTGGTCTGGGTGAGTTACATCAGATCTCTACTTAATAATTATTTGTTTTCCAGCTTTAGTAGAACTGCTTCAATAAATGCTTTGTTACAGTGCCCTGTACTGCTTTATGCTGTATTAGACTCTACTAGTAGACTTTTAGTGTTTATATTGTTTTAGTGTTTCTGTTGTGCAGTAAATAGTTCTGATTAGGGGTTTTTGTCTGATCATTTGTATAAAGTACATTATTCATTTTATATAAATATTCTTGTTTTGCCATCATTAAAACCTGCAGGACAAAGTGGTTTAAGAGCTCTTTAATTCCTTTAAATTTAAACTGTGAACACAGTCTGGGGCTAAGAGAGGATTCAGCTGCACCCAAACCCTTCCCTGGGAAGGAGTTCAGAAAGCCAGGGAGTCCTTCCTGCACCTCCAGACTCTCTGGCAGGGCTTTGCTTTTTAAAACTTAGTCTGAGCCTTCCACTTTCCCGTGACAGGGTCTCCACATCCTCCTGGTTCCCCTTGTGTCGTGGTTTGACCCTGGCCAGATGCCAGGGGCCTGTTGAAACCACTCCACTACCCTCCTGTCTGAGTGTAAATAGACTGGAATGTTTTGCTAAGGAGGATGAGTTATGAAGTAGACCAAACTCCTCTCTCAGCAATTGTAAATCCAAATTAAGAGGCTCCAATCGAAGAAGTATGGAAAAAAGGAAGAGATAACAGCCCTTTATTAAAGGATATTTGTGTATTGGCAAAACCAGCAAAAGAACACAAAACCAACTAAACAATAATCCTGTGCCCAAAAACTCCCCTTCCAAAAAAGGAAAGAGTTTGATACTTCCCTGTGCTCTGGCGCAATTCCAATCCCAGTTGGCAGGAGCTGTTGGATCCCTGGAGGGGCGGGGCCTGCAGTGCTGGGTGTTGGCCAGCAGGGGGCGCTGTTGGATCCTTGGAGGGGCGGGGCCTGCAGTGCTGGGTGCTGCCAGCAGGGGGCGCTGTTGGATCCCTGGAGGGGCGGGGCCTGCAGTGCTGGGTGTTGGCCAGCAGGGGGCGCTGTTGGATCCTTGGAGGGGCGGGGCCTGCAGTGCTGGGTGCTGCCAGCAGGGGGCGCTGTTGGATCCCTGGAGGGGCGGGGCCTGCAGTGCTGGGGGTTGGCCAGCAGGGGGCGCTGTTGGATCCCTGGAGGGGCAGGGCCGCAGAGCTGGGTGTTGGCCAGCAGGGCGCTGTTGGATCCCCGTAGGGGCGGGGCCCTGCAGGCTCGGTGTTGGCCAGCAAGGGGCGCTGTGTGATCGCTAAGGAAGCGGGGCCTGCAATGCGCGGTGTGGGCCAGCAGGGGGCGCTGTTGGATCGCAGCAAAGCCAAAAATGGAATTGGTTGTTTTCCCCCCCGCCCCCAGGACGGGTAGGGGAAAGGGGAAAGAAGGGGGCGTTGTTCTTTCCCACTAAAACTCACGCTGTCTGTGCCTGGCTGGTGGTCCAGGACTCCCCTTTTTTCGTCCGTGAGTCAAAAAAACTGTCCGATGGAATCTGAGCAGATTGGGGCTGGAGACAGAGCAGCGTGCAGGCAAGCCGAGGCCGGAGGGCAGCCAGATGACCAGGTCGAGAGCAAAACGGCCTCAGAGCTTTTTCCAACACACACACCCCTTGCCTCCATTAAGGCAAAAAGTGAAGTGCCACTTTCCAAGGAGAGGAGGGGAGAAAAAAACTCCTCATGAGTCCCCCCCAGCCCCAGAGAGAGCTGTCAGGCTGGAATGTAGTTCTGCCAGCCAGCTCCTTTGGGTAGGTAATCACCCAAGGCAGAAAACTGTCCTCCCCATTCAACATCCCTCCCCCACAGGCAGCAGGGGAAAGAAAATTCCCTTTGGTTTTTTAGAACAAGTAAACCCGTGACACTGGGGAACAAATCCCCCAATGTATTTCCCCCCATCTCTACACTGTCATCTCCTTTGAACACTAGGCTGGGCAGGGATTCTTACTGTCATTGGATCTCTGTGAACACAAACAGAGCTGTCCTTGGGGGCTGAATGACTGCAAGGCTCATAAGTGAACACAGCAGTGAGGACTTGTGCTCCACATCCCAGCAGCTGTGTCACAGGGAACTGTGTTACTGGTAAATTTCCTTGAATCTGGCGCAGTGCTACAGACAGAGCCCATTCATCCTGGGTTTGATCCTACTAATCATCCTACTAACCGTCATCCTGGGTTTGCACCTAACAATTTTCTTCTCATCGAAACCCCCTTTCCATACTTGTTGGGTTTAACAACCTTTGCAACACCTTGCAAAGTACAGTGACACAAAAGAGCTGGTTAATATTCAAGGATCACTTCCATCAAGCTCAAGAGAGTTTCATCCTAAAAAGCAGGAAGTCAGGCAAAAATTCCAGGAGGCCTGCATGGATGGCTTGACAAGGAGCTTCTTGTTCAAACACAAAAAGGAAGCTTACAGAGAGTGGACACAAAGAAAGAAAACAGAAATGTTATCTGGGCATGCAGGGATGAAGTTGGTAAAGCCAAAGCCCAAATGGAACTGAATCAGACCAGTGATGTCAGAGACAACAGGAAAGGACTTCTTTAAGTCTGTAGGTGACAAAAGGAAAAGCAGGGAAAATGTGGGCCCATCCCTCAACAAGATGGGGAGCTTGTTCCACAGGACAGGAAAAAAGCAGAAATACTGAATGTCTTCTTTGCCTACGTCTTTCCTGGCTTTTCCCAACCTTCAGGGATCGGGACAACTGACTCTAGGAAACCCTGTTCCAGAACAGGCCTTGGACTAGAGCACCTTAGTCCTTCCGTGATTCTGTGCAGAGGGTGAGCAGTGGCCACCAGCAGAGCAGGGCCATACCCACAGTGCAGCCTGTGCAAAAGCACACACAGCATAGAGGGGCTCCTCCGCCAGAACCAACGGCAGTTGCCATCAAGACTCCAGGATGTGTCCTCGTTTTCTTCTGTTCCCCCTGCCGGCTTTGCTTCTCCCATTCCCCCATCCCAAGGCTGTCCCCTCTTCTTCCCTCTGCTTGCCTCTGGGACAGGTGGGGACCTGTCCAACTTTGGCAGAAAGGGCACGGCTGCCACAACTGTCCCGACATTTGAGGAGAACTGCTGCGTTTGGTGACAGAATTGGAGCTCTTTGGGCCTAGGTGGGAGGGGTGAGGAGAGTCATGTTTTTGAAGGCTTCTTAAGGCTTTCTTCCCAGGCCAGAAGTTAAGACTTCTCTCTCTGCCCTTGCTCTGAGTGCAAATGAGTCCGGCAGACATCTTCAAGGCTGAAGGAGAAGCCAGGCCTGAAGGCCGAGCCAGAGCTGTCCTCTGCTCCCTTCAGCTCTGCTCACAACTGCATCTTCAGCCTGTCCCAGAGGCCAGGCAAATGTGTGCCCTTCCTCCGGGAAGGCTTGAAGCACAGTGGTGTTAAGATCATGGCCTCCAGGTGAGCTATTGCTGCTACTCAGTTGCCAGACTCTTGCAGTGCTTTCGAGCCCTCCTCTTTGTGTTCTGGGCAGAAGATAGTGGGTGAGCTTCTGGTAGCCATAAACACAGGCAAATCCTTGATCCTGTGGGAAGCAGATCGGTTTGTAGCCTGTAAAGAAAAAGGGAAATTTCTTCAGCCTGCTTGCAGTGCATTGTAGTGTCCCTCCCCTGAGAAAGCTGGTGAAAAACCTCTGGTCCTTCACTTGGTGTTGTCATTGGGACAAAGTGGGACAAGATGTGTTTGAAAGTTTCTTCCTGCCCTGCTGTGTGCTGCCCGTTGGCTGGTGGAGCAGCAGAGCAGAAATTCACTGTTGGCATCTGGCAAAGCAGCAGGAGAGAGCAGTTGTGAGGGGAAAGGGGGTGAGGTGTCTGCTCTTCAAGAGGGACAAGACAAAGGAGTTGGGGAATTGTCCTGGAACTCTGGCATGGCAGGTTTGGAGCGCTGGGTGGGCATTTCTTGAGAGCTGTGGTGGCCCCACTTCGTCCTGAGCCTCATTTGATGGCAGTGTGTCCAGAGGCAGCCCGGCTCCAGGCTGAAGCAAAAAGCCAGAGCGGGTGATGCGGGAGCTGCTCCAGCGCCTACCGCAGCCTGCGGCCCGGTGGGAGCGTCCCGGGCCCTGCCCCGGGGCGCCCTGAGGTGGGGCAGTGCCCACTCCCGCCGGCCGCCCTCACAAGGCCCAGGCCGCCTCCTTCCCACAAGGCCCAGCAGGGCCGCCCTCACACCTGCCCCGCCCTGCCCTGTCCCGCCCGGCCCCACCCTGCCCCGTGGCCTCTGTCACACCCCACGCTGACGTGCTGAGCCTTCCACCAGCCATTGTGACGCCACAGGCGCCAGTCGGGCACGGCTTTGTTGGTGCCCGCAGCCGGCGCTCAGAGCTGCTGGAGCCTCTCGGGGAGCAGCAGCACATCCCGCTCGGGGAGCATTGCACGCCTGCATCGCCGTCTTGGCAGCTGCAGGCCATGACCACTGCGCAGGGCGACCTCATCTGCCTTGTGCTTCATACCCTGTGCCCGTCCTTATTCTCGCCCCTTTGTCACCCTCCCCCTAAACCTCGCCCCGTCCCATTCCTCATCCCCACTTGGCTCCCGGCAGCCCGCCGGGGCCTTCTTGCCCTTCCTGCTGCTGGGAGCTCCAAGCAGGGCCATGCCGTGGCTTCTGAGCAAGAAGCGACGGCAGTCGCCCTCCAGCAGCCCCAGTGGGCAGCCCTGGGCTGCCACCAGCTCCAGCAGCGCCTCCCAGCTCCGGGAGCAGGGGCTGGGCAGGCTGCACCGCGCGGCCGCCCGCGGTGACCTGGGCTGGCTGAGGCGCTGGCGCTGGTACGTCAAGGTAGTCGGCATCGACAGGCCAGACCAGGAGATGCGGTGAGTTCTGGGCCACGCTGATGGCACACCTTGGCTGCTCCTGAGCCAAGCTGCAGTAGTCCTCGGCAGCCCTCTCTTAGGGACAAGGCTTGAAAAGTGACATTTGCCCTGTCAGCTGGGACAGGGAACTCTTGAGCTTTTCACTGCTTGCAGCTGCCGGCCGGGCTCCAGCGCTGTTGCAAACGCGTGTTGCCCACCTGCCCCTTGGCCGTGCTCTCTCTGCAGGGCTGTTCTGCAGCTGCTCAGCCCTCACCTGTTCTCTTCTGCCCTCTGGCTCATCAGGGCAGGCCTGTAACAGCAGCAGCAGCAGCAGCAGGAGGAGGAGCAGAGTCTGGACAGGGTCCCCAGGGTGCTGGGTAGAGACACAGCTTGGACTCCTCCTTTGTCTGTCTGGGTTAAGAGCATCTGTTTAATTTTTAGGACACCTTTGCATCTGGCTTCAGCCAATGGCCATGCAGATGTCGTGAGATATCTGCTAAGAAAGAACAGCCAGCCCAACCTCGCTGACAGCTTCAAGAGAACGGCCCTGATGAAGGTGTGTGGAATGCCTTCTGAGCTTGGAGGTGGGGCTTAGTGCTGGGGTGTCAAAGGGGAGGTGTCTGGCAGGATTCCTTGCAGGGCAGGGCCATAGAAACACGCCTATTGCAATGGGCACGGCACAGCCTCTGTTAGCTGATCTTTGCAGATGGTCTTCTATGGCAGCACTCAGGAGCTTTGGGAGTTGTGACAGAGGGGGATGGAAAAGTTGGAAGCCTTTCCCTTTTGGTGTGTTGTTGCCAGGCAGTGCAGCAGGAGCAGGAAGAATGTGTTGCTGTTCTGCTGGAACACGGTGCCGACCCCAATCTGGCAGACGCTGACGGCAACACTGCCCTTCACCTGGCTGTGCTCTCTAAAAACACAGCTGTAGCAGGGCTGTTACTGGAGCATCATGCCAACAGTGATGCTCAGAACCAGGTAACCTTGGCACGTGGCTAAAGCTGCTCTTTCCAAGAGCTGCAGAGCTTGTCTGTGTCTTTCTAATGGGGATTCTTTCTCCTTTTAGTGGGGATTTACCCCCTTGAAACTTGCAGCCTTGCAACAGCACGAGGAGATTCTGGAGTGCCTTGTGAACAAAGCAGCTGACAGGCCTGCTCAAGCCCAGGGGGAAAGGTGAGGGCTTTGTCAAAAGAGCCCCCGGGTGTTCTGGGTAGTCTGCAAGTGGGACCCAGACGAGGGGCGTGGCAATGAGCTGGGCAAAAGAAGGAGCAGCCCCGTGGAAGCAGTTCCCCGTGGGAGTGGTAAATGCAGGTCTGCCCTTGGCTGCTCTCGTACCTCAGGGGCTCTCGTCCTTTGCCCGCTGAGGTCTGCAAGAAAGCCTTGTCTGTGGTGCCCTCTCCCCACCCAGAGCCAGAGCCCCGGGGAAACTTGCCAGTAGCTCAGCAGCGTGGCTGCTCTGCAGGCCAGGGGGGGTTAAGGCACGGCAGAGTTGGGGCGTTCAGTGCTCTGAAGGGAAGCGTTGGGGGAAAGAGAAGCAACACTGTCCCAGGGGACACGAGGGGCTCCGAGCACAGAAGGAGAAAACTTCCTGCCATGGAGATGGTCAGGGGGTCGAAGGGCTTGCCCTGGGAGTTTGTGCAGCCGCATGTGGGGGGACTTTGAAGAGCAGTGCAAGGAACCCTGAACAGCATGGCCTGAGCTGGTAGCTGAGGCTGCTTTAGGGAGGCCCCTTGGAAGAGAAATTCTCCAGTGCTTCCATGGACTTGGCTTTGCTTTCATGGAGCTTGTAGGAAAGGGGGGAAGAGCTGTTTTGGGAGCAAGCAGGGGAAAACTGATGCAGGGTCAGACACGTTTCCGATGAAATTTTGCATGCTTTAGGAGTGCTCTTGTGGTTCCTGGAAGCCATGAGGCTCACCTGGAGGAAGATAATCTGCGCTTGCAGGAGGAGCTGGACAGGGCTGACGTGGAGGTATGGAAAGCCTGTCCCCACAGGGAGAAACCTGGGGGTGCCTGTTGCTTCCTATCCATCCTGAAAACGGACAAAACAGTGTTCATTGTGTTCATTGGGGAGTAGAAGTGAAGCTTTGAAGGGACTTGAATGGATTGCAGTTCTTTGGGCAGAGGGGATGCACACAGACATGCAGCACCTGAGTTCTTCAGCAGCAGCTGGCTCCTCTCTGGAAAAGCTCCCCTGACAACTGTGGATTCTTCCCGTGATTTTACAGCTGCAGGAGGAGGAAGAAAAGCATCTTCAGTCTGAGCATTGTGTTCCTGACTTGAAGACTGCCTTGGATGCCAAGAAAAGAGAGGCAATAACTTCCTCCCAGAAACTGCAGGACCTCCTGGAAGAAGACGCGCAAGAGTAAGAGAGTAACCCAGTGAAGCGAGGGGTCTGTGGCTTTGGGGGATTGGGTGGAAACAGGGGGAGAGTCAGTGGGATTTTGAAGGACGCTTCTGCTGTGGCTTCTGTTCCTTAGCACAGTTTGCCTGGCATTGGGTTTTCTGGTAATAAGAGCTGTATTTCTTCTTAAGCTTTGCAAGTGAGAACAGCAGATTGGAAGGCACTGTCCAGCAGCCAAGCGAGAGCGTTGAAGCCCTTCCGAGAGCCCTGCAAGCCTCTGCCTCAGTAAGCTGGTCCTAAATTTGCCTTTTTGTGACTCTTGAGCCTAGTTGCCTATTTCTGTGGGGCACCTGTCAGATGAAGTTTTCCTGCAGAGCCTGGGGAGCTCAGTTTCTGCCTTCTCCTCAGCAGAGGCTGCTCAGAAAGCAGCCTGGTCCTTTCCCCAGCTGCTACAAAAGCCCTGAGGATATTTGGTGTGCTGGACACTGGAGGAATTCTTAGATTCTAAATGAGGAGTTTCGTCATGATCTCCAAGGGACCCAGAAGTATTGTTGCCAGAAGTGTCTCCCAAATTCTTAAGTCGGTGTAAAGTTTCTTCTTTCTGTCGGGGAATCTTTCAAGTGTTTTCTAGGCTCGTTTCCAGTAGATGATAAATACAGTTGCCATGGCCACCCCCTTGAGAGGTTTTCCCAGAATTCACTGCCTTTAGACCATGCTGAGTTTTCTTTTCCTTTTTTTTCTCTGTGTCCAGGGTGGTGAACTTTCCCAGCAGCTGGACATGGAGCCTGGAACAGGCATGCAGCTCGAGGCCCTAAACCAGGCTGTGCAAGAAGAGCTGTCCACTCTGCTTGGGAAGTGTGAACAACTGGAGAAGAGCAAATGTCAGCTGCAAGAAGAGGTGACAAAACACCACCATCATTTGGAGACTTTGGTGCTGGATGGCAGCCAAAGAGAACAGTGTACAGGAGAGGTGGCAGAAGGAGCTGACCAGGAAAGAAGTCCAAAGCTACAAGAGGTCAGCCTCGTTTTGCAAGTAAGTGAATTTCTCCCCAGTGTCCACAGGCTCTTCATTAGGAGCTTTGAAGCAGAGTGCTCATTTGGGCTTCTTTCCCACTGCAAAGAATTGTTTGCCCTGGTAGCTCCTGGGTTCTGCCTTGGTTGCTGCTGGGAGTGAGGAGGCAGAGCCGCCTCTCTGAGTCAGGCTGGGCCCTTGAAAGTGGGTGGGTGCAATTTTGTGCTGGGCAGAGCTCTCTTTTTCTTGTGGTGGTTGAAGGTGCACTGTCTCCTTCAGGCACAGGCAGCCCACCAGGCCCCACTAGGACAAACCAGAGACAGTCATTGTGATTTCGTGAGAATCCAGTTGGAAGAAAGAATTAGAAATCTGGAAAGTGAATTGGAGAGGGTCAAAAACACCCAACAAGAGAGAGCTTCTCGTAAAGAAGCAACACAGGGAGAAATAGGGATGTACAAAGAGCTGTATCTGGAGGAAGTGAAAACCAGAAGATGCCTGGCCAAGAAACTGGAAAGGTAAGTCCATGCTTGTTTGGAGTGGTAATGAGAGAGTCCTTTTTCTTCCTGCATTTTCCTTGGAAATCCATCTTCTCCATCTGGCCAGCATTATTGCCCTCCATTGGCCAACAGGGTCTGATGGAGTTGCCAAGACCCTCTCTTTGATATTTGAAAAGTCGTGGCAGTCAGGGGAAGTCCCAGGTGAGGGGAAAAAGGGAAACCCACTGTGGCCATCTTTGAAAGGGGTAGAAAGGAGGGCCCTGGGACCTGCCAACGTGTCAGCCTGCCCTCTGTGCCTGGGGAGGTGATGGAAAAGATCCTTCTAGAAGCTCTGTCAAGGCACGTGGATGACAGGGAGGTGATTGGAAGCACCAGCACAGCTTCCCCAAGGGCAAGTCCTGCTTGACCGACCTGGTGTAGTGTAACGTGGAGCTGATAAAAATGGGGTGTCAGGACTGCTGAGCTGAGCGATCCTCATCCTTCCATCAAGGCTGTGTTGCTCTACAGGGATGCCCGCTAAGCACGGGCACCGACCACTGCAGATCCTGATAGCCCTGGCCTGTCTGTGTGGGTAAGCACAGTTTATTGATAGGAAGCAACTGAGAAAGCAAATTTTTTAATATCCTTTTAGTGTCCTTTAATTCCTATTTTATTAATTAATACTGTTACATAAATAAATTGTCCATAGTATTTCCCTTTAATTTCCCTTTTTACTAACCAATATCGCGTTAATAGTTATCCGTAATATTGTGTTAAGATCCTTTTTTGGTATCCCTTTAACTGCCTTTTTACTAGTTAACACTGTATTAAATGCTGTTCATAGTATTTGTTTTAATGCCAACTGATAAGGTAGTTATTTTGTATTCTTTTTAAGTTTTTTGATTCTCTTTGCTAAGTTTATTATTATTATTATTATCACTGTAATAAAAGATATTTTATGTGTTTGAATGTCTGTTGCACTTATCTTTATTCCAGGCATGTATCCTAAAGAATTGTTACACATCTATGTTCCCTGTTAAGACTCTTGTTGCAATCTCTCCTTCCACATTTTATCTAGCTGTTCTTATTACAAGCTCTTTTTCCGTTTCTTTCAACTCTGATAACATCAAGTCTATGTCTGACCAATCAATGTCCTGATTTTTTACAATGAATTCAAATCTCTTAGCTACCTTCTCAGGATTTTCCCTAAAAAATTTAGCTTCCTCTCTCCAGCTATTCAAGTCACTTGCTGAAAAGGGTGCTTTCCCTCTTGTCTGATTACCTGTGGGTGTTATTACCTGCTGCAGGGGAGCCACCGTGGGACTTGTTTTGGTTTTAGCTTTTGTTCTAACCCCAGTCTTGCTCTTGGCTTTCTGTCCCACAGTCCAACCACCATATTTGCTACTCACTCCCTCTTCTGGGTCCTCAACGCTCTCTGCTACACTCTCAGAATCTTCTGCATCCAATCCCCACTCCTGTGGGCTGCTTGGTCCTTGCCGAGCCAGCTCTGCTCCTCTAAAATGTGTCGGCTGCAGTTCCTGAGGGTCTGGGATACTTTCCTCATCACTGTCTCTCCCAGCTTAAAGCACCTCTGACCTATCCTACAGGCATCACAGCAATGCTTTCTCAGCTTACTATTTTTCTGACTCTTTTCCAATGCCAACACAAGGGGATCTTGGGGGGCTACATTGATTCCACAACCTTTCAGCCATTATGGCTTATGTCTTAAAGTGAAAAACATATCTGCATACATCACTTCATCCCACTTCTGCTCCCTGCAGAGGAACAACAGAAGCTGTAAAATTGGATTATAATTAATACTCCCTTGAGGAGGCCACTTCTTGCCATCATCTAATAAATAGAGCAACCACCAATTCTGGCAATGTTTTAAAAAGGTCTTTTTACTTAAGTTCCCTCCAGGAATACCTCCAAAATCTTTCCAATGTTTTAATATACACCCCACAGGAGTCTTGGCATTTATTTCTTTACTCATTTTGACCCCTCTTATGAAGAAAAACAATTAAATCTATAATATCCTAACAATCACAACTATTATACTGCCAGATGATATCTACCCTTCAAATCCAAGTACTACTTCTCAATAAGAAACCTCCTAAACCCACTAATTTTACAACCAACCTGCACTAATACAAAACTCCACGAGAAGTCCCCCTTAGACCACAAGTATACCTGGTTCTCACAAGAAGCCTGTATAGCCACACAAATCCACAAGATGCTGCTGTTGACCACCAAATGCACACTCTATAACAAACCTAAGGGCTTTAAAAATGTCATGTCATGTCATGGCTGGGCTTCGCGAACGAAGAATTGGGAAGGCTCTATCCACATTTGCTACAGGCACGCTGGTGACTTATGAGGCCAATACGTGACAGACAAATCCGATTGCAAAAGGCACAGCAGAAAGACTCCTTAGATGGTGTATTCTGCAAGACACGGTTCTTTCTGCGTTGCCTTTTTTCCTCGAGAGTGATCCTGCGTGTGTTCTCAAAGGAGACAGCTGCGTTATAGATGGTGTGTCTCCAGGCCTCCCGATTTGAGGCCAGAGTAGACCAGTTATAGTGATCAATATGGCCAAGGCTCCTCTCATGTGGCAGCCAGTGGCAAGTTCACCATAGAGCAGGATCTTAGGGAGGTGGTGGTTGGTCCTTCATCCTGGAGACGTGCCCTGCCCATCGCAGCTGTGTTCTCATCAACATGGCTTCTATACTTGTGATAGCTGCTTGCTCTAGAACAGATGTGTTGGTCACATAGTCTGACCAGTGGATGTTTAGGATCGTACGGAGGCAGCGCTGATGGAAGCGTTCCAGGGGACACAGGTGGTGGCAGTAGATGACCCATGATTCGGAACCATATAAGAGAGTCGACAACACTATGGCTCTGTAAACACTGATCTTGGTGCTTTTCTTCAAGTGTTTATTACGCCATACTCTTTTGTGGAGTTTTCCAAAAGCACTATATGCCTTAGCTAACCTGTTGTCTATCTCTCCTTCGATCTTACCATCTGAGGAGATGAGGCAACTGAGGTAATTAAACTGTTGGACTGATTTGAGCTCTGATTGGCCAATGGTTATATGGGGATGATGGGGGACTTCCTGAGGTGCAGGTTGATGGAGGACCTCTGTCTTCTTTAAGCTGACTTCCTGTCCTAGTTAGGACAACTGAGACCAGTTCATCAGGGTATGGGTGTAACCCAAAACTGTGTATTCTATAGCCTTCCATGCCATTTCCCAGAAACTGTTATCAATGAACCATTTACACCCTCTGCCCATAGGGCCTGACTCCTCAGGCTATAAACTAGGTGTTAAGAGGCCTGTGAGATAGGAGGATGCTCCTGTCCTCACACCCTTTGTGGAACTCCCCGCCCTGAGGGAAGTGCTGAGCATTCCTGCCTGAACTGCAGGATATATAATCTTGGAGTCTTGGAACATTTGGAACCACTCTGTGGGATCCAGAGAAGGACTGCGGCTCATCGCTCTCAAACAGACTTGGACCACCACCCTATACTGGACTCCAATCACCACTTTTGACCAGACTGCAACAGCTCTCCCACCAGCAGGTTCTTCCCCTCTCCCTTTACTTTGGACTCAAGCGGGGCCCAAGGAACACCACGTTGTTCATGCCCCAGGGTACTGGGTTATACATTTGGGTTTTGTGGGTTAAGACCAATTGTTTGTTTGTATGATTGTACTTACTGTATTATTTTAGTAAATTGTTATTCTGACTTATAATCTCTCCTTTGAGTTGAGTTCATTTCCCCTGCTGGTTAACTCTTAAACCAGCACATTTTTTGGCCGCCCAACGTGGGGCAGAGAGAGAGAAGTCAGAATCACAATTTCACTTTAAGCATTTGTCTATTTGGATATAGAAACTCCCTGATCACCATGTTGTTTGATGCATTCACATGGATGTTGTATTTGAGCCTGTTCATATTTCCACAGATGGGGAACTATTTGCCTGTTTTGATGCTCTCTTTAAGACCAGGGAGAGGGATCCAAATTGCTTTATTAGTATATTATGTTTATGTCATTCTAACATCAGAAGCAATGAGTTTCATTGTAAATGTGTATTCAGTCCTGTTTGCCTGTCCTGGTTTGGGTTGCTACCTCTGGGGCCTCATTAAAAATCGTACCCAGCCCTTTGGGGGAACAGGGGGGGATGGTTGTTTCCAACCTCTCACCTCCTTCTTCCCCTTCAGACCTGCTACAACAGTTTTTGAAAACATTGAGTTCCCTTTTGATGTTAAGGACAGCATAATGTTATTGTTAGTGTTGCTCTGTCTGCTCTGTACTGTGTACACCATGTTTAGGGTCAGAACAGGGCCTTCTAGGGAGGTTGTTTGGACACCTGCCCTGGGAGCAGATAATGCTGAGTGGCACGGGAAGTGGGAGGACATCAGCCAGTATTTGGAGAAGTTTTCTCCTCCAATGATCTGGAAATTCACCCCTGAACAACTGCAGGATCCTGTTAGCATGATAAGACTGGTGAAGGAAAAATGCTCTGGCAGCTCCAGAGATGACCAGCTCACAGCAACCTGCTGGGCCCTGGCCACTGCCTACCGGACACTACTTGACATGGTACAGCACTGTCAGGGGGAGGAGAGAAGGACCAAATCCGTAGGCACCACGTCCACCCAAACCACAGCTGAGTCAGAGGGAGAAAGAAATAAACCAACCGGCACCGTGTCCACACAAACCATCGAGGAGCCAGAAGAACAACCAAAACCAATAGCAGTCACTCCTGTCCAGAAAAGGAAATCAAAGACTAAATCAGTCCGTATAGCAAATGATGACGAAGAGGCAGGACCTTCACATCCACTGGAGGAGACAGAGCCAGAAATAATCACTCGGTCCCTATCCCTGGGTGAGCTACGCGAGCTCCGGAGAGAGTTCACACGACAGGCGAACGAGTCCATTCTGACCTGGCTGCTCCGAATCTGGGATGCCGCAGCTAACGATACAATCCTAGATGGGAGTGAAGCCAGACAGCTGGGGTCCCTGTCTCGAGATGTAGTCATTGAT